TGGCTCCCATTGTTTAAACTCGGAGCTCTGAGTAGTCACACCACATTACTGCATTTTCCTTCTGTTCATGAACACAAGTCATTAAGTGCAATCCAATGTAAGGGGAAAGGGATTAAGCTACACCTGTGGAAGAGGCATTATAGAATTTGAGGATGTATTTCACAATTTCCTGATGAGTGGATATAAGTTAACATAGAATGCCAACTTAAGTAGTACAAAATCATGTGTTAATCTATTTATTTTTGTTTGCTTACTTGTTTATTTAGTTTTTGAGAGAAGGTCTTACTATGAAGCCCTGGCTTGTGTGAAGCTCTCTATGTAGGGCAGGCTGGCCTTCAAGTCACAGAGATCCATCTCCTTTGCCTCTTGAGTGTTGGGATTAAGTGTATGTGCCATCATACCTGTCCAGGTTAATGTGTTTAATATTGAGGTAAAATAAAAGTAAATCTGGAGAGAATGCTGTACTGCTGTTTATCTACATCCTATGGCTCTTATTTTCATCTCGCATCTCTGCAAAAATTCTCTTTATAGTGATGAGTGAATGATGACCTGTCTTATTATCTCAAGTAGAAACTGCATTTAACATTTATAACACAAACCCAATTAATAAAACCTTTGATTGGAGAGACTTGTTTTTCCTTGTGTCACAACAATCCACAAGGAGGCAGGCCAGGCCTGGAAAGGTGATTCTCCCACACAAAAATGAACCCATGTACCTTCCACTTCCCACAGCAGTAATAGTGCCAGTAGCTTTAATGATTACATTGGAAAGACAGTTGCTCTATCTTTGCATTGTCTGAAACTCTTACTTTCTTGTCGGTGTGACATAATACTTGACAGAAATAACCTAAAGGATGAAATATTACTTTGGCTTATGATTTTAGAGAGTCTGGTCTATGGTTGCCTGGCTTCATATGCTTTACAACAGGACTGTACAGTAGAAAATACTCTTCATTTTTTTTGGACTATGAAAAGTAGAGCACAGAGGAAGGAGTCAGGGAGAGTTATATCCCTCAAGGACACCTTCCAGCATCCCACTTCCTTCAAAGCCCCTATTGCCTACTTTCCACCACTTTGCCATAATGCCATAATATTATGAATCTATGAAAGAATCAGAATCTTCAGGATCTCATCACCTAAGGAAATTACTTCAAAAACACACAGGAGTATGCTCCAGTAATCTCAGAGGTGTTTCCTTTTTTTTTTTTAAACAAACAGAGAATTTATTAGGTGACTATACTAGCTGTAATGGGTCAACAGCTAGAACCACAGTTTTCTACATGTGACAATCACAAATTCTAGTTGTTCTGCATCATCATGAGGATAATCCTGCTTATACCCCACATGAGAGACTAGAACATGGGTTCGTTTTTTACTTGCCTTTTGATCTTTAAGGGCCTTTATGCTAGCCTCAAACTTGACAAGCACATGCTGGCAGACATTCAAGAGCTCAGTCAGGCCTTTCTGAAATGGCTCAACAGCTGGAAGTGCACCCTGTGTCTGAATTCGCAAATTAATTTTGCTCTCTGAAGGATGTGCCACAGTGTAACTGCAAAATTCCACTTCCCGGTTCTTCATGATTAAGTACCACAGACAGTTTCCTAGGGTATGGTCCTTCTTGTGCTGTACAGATGTCACACACTGTCTATCTGTTCTAGCTGTCTAGACCATTTCCAGGATTGTCTTCCTCTTGCCTTCAGCCACTGAGGTCTTCAATCCTGACACTTTTCTCAACAGCTCCAGATCCTTTTCCATGGCAAGGGACAGCTCCAAGAAATCCTCAGGTAGCACAGGCGAAAAGGAGACTCTTCCCCAAGTTGTGAAAGGCAGAGAGAAGGAAAGGGGATAAGGCCCCAAGAAAGAATCAAAGAATCCTAGGTGTTTCTTAATCCAATCAAGCTGATCATCAAAGTTACTATCACAGCATCCCTGTTTGAGAAAAGGGAGACATGAAGGTCAGAGTGTTTAAAGGATATTTCTTCCATAAAACTGTTCTTATGCTCACGGAGTAACACATGGAAAGCCATAACTTACAAGAGTAAGAGGAAGTAAACAAATTTAGCTGGATGCATCAGCACCCTGCAAATAATCATGACTGTGCTAGAAAGGTAAAAAAGACATAATTCAGACAACTAATATTATCTATCTTCTTATTCCAAGGAGCTTTGACGTGCATTGATATACTTTTTTGAGACATTAAATACCAGACAGACAACGATACTAGCTGGGATCTATCTGTTTTAAATAGCTTAATCCAGTCAGTTTTGAGCCCCAAAATGAAGTATATCTTCAAAAGTAATCATCTTTTCTAGTTAATAATACTGAAAAAATAGCTGACCTGAGTGTCATTTCTATTTCCAAGGAGACAACTGCATGGTTGTACAAAGGTAAGTCACCAAAGAATTCTTTATATCAGTAAGGAGTTGGGATATATTCTCTCATGAGAAAAATATGTGTCAAATATATAATTTGTGAACTAGTAGTATGTGCTCTTGTGGGGTATTTTTTTTGTTTTAGTTTTAGAGAAAAGTCTGAAAGAAAATCAGACAGAATTTTTAGATTATGAAATTATTTCATTTTATATCTGCACAACTTATCTGCATTTTTATTTGAATTGATTTACATGTTTTGAATCTGTTTGCATATGCAACATGTATTGTTTTCATAAAACAATGGCTCTTTAAAAAAAAAACTAAGGAAGCGAATGGTCATTTGATCAATATTGTTTCTATTTCCGTTCCTTTGTGCCTGTAATTTTGCTAGCTATGACTATAACTAAACTTAGAGCTTTTCCTTGGGTGTTTTTCTTATCTTTGCTAAAATGATGTTATTCTTTAGTCATTATAACTCTTACTAGAATTCAGGACTCACAGAATCCTGAGGTTGGATTTGTATTTAGAATGCTTGGACTTCCAGGTGGTACTACTCTTTTACACTTATGCATGGCAAAACTGTTTTTGTGCAGTGTTGAGGCTGAGCAGGAGCTGAGGAGAAGGAAAGGATGGAGCTAAGGATGTCTGGGGGACAGGTTGAAGGGCCATGGACCAGAGAAAGAGAGCTTACCTGCCCTTCTTTTCTGGCCTGGTCCTATCAGTTTCTCATTCTTTCCTAGATTTTCTCATCTGAAAAGGAGACCTTTGTGTTAAAATCACTAACTTTGTTTCAAGTTTTTAACTTCCTTTGGAAGGTTTTTTTTTTTTTTTTGGATTTATTGGTGCTGTCTATATCCTAGCAAATGGCACTAAAGCTAAACTCAAGTAAATTGAAGGCAAAGTAACAGCCACAGTCAACATACACTATTTATTATTCCTATCAGACATGTTGTTCAGTAGCTTCCTAAAATTACACAATGAATGGGTCATCACCTAGATCTCAGCCTACTAAGGTTGGAATGTGGCTTTTCTTTCCCAAGACTCTTTGATCTCTATTAGCATGTATTAGGGGTTGAGGCTAAGTAAACGTCTTGGTTGGGACTCTCCCCTTAAAATGGCTCAATTCATTCTTGTGACTAATGGATTAATGAATGAATGGGCTATTCAGTGACTGCTATAAAATCGAGTTTGGCTAGGTCTCCAATATGCTTTCTGTTTCCTGCCATGATATCCGGCTGCTTCAGTTCAGAACTTGATAAACAAAAACATCATCTCACAGTTCCTCGTCTAGAATCATAACCAAAATATACCTGCTCTTTATAACTTAGTATTATAATATTAGAGGCAGAGAGTGGATTCAGATAAATCTTAAGTGTCTTATTTCAAAACCCTCACTTTATTAGCTATGCTGTGGTGTGCTCAGAACTGCCTAGTTTGATCAAGCAAGGCACAGTTTTTCCATCCCCGGGCCTGGCCTTGTAGATGATGGTTAAGGCCAGTAGTCTCTAAATCTTAATTCCACTCCCTGCTGCCTCAACAGGTGGTAACCCACTTCCGGTGCAGCAAAGATAGGTACACAGGACCTTTACCAAAGCAGGGCACACGAGTTTGCAAAGTCCTTAAGTATTTGCCCATTGCAGAACAGAAGTAAAGTGCCATACACACATTCCTCCGAGAAGTTTTCTGTTACCACTATCTGGATTTTCTGTTCTTCTGAGGCACACATCTAGTTACACAGCAGTCTTCATTATGGCAAATGTCTTATTATTAAGGACAGAGAGATGCTGTGAGAGGACGAGAGACAAAAAAATGAAGGGGCTATGATTGGGTTCGAGGTCAGGGTGGCGTTAAGGTTTGTTTCACAGACAACAGTTTATATGGCAGCTCTGCTTGTAGTTCCTACTGATTTCGCCTTCTGCTTTCCTGAGAGAATCAGACAGGATACTCAACCTCACCAGAAGGGGGCTGAAACTAAACCCTTCGCTCGAGGAAGCCGGGACTTCCCAGCCCCCCTCGCAGGAGGGCGGGGCGAACGCCCGGCGCCCAATCCCGGCATCCGTACGTCGCCGTGGCCCCGCCCACTCCGCCTAGGCCCCGCCCTTCCCCGGGGCTGATGCTGCAACCGCGACGTCAGCTCTGCAAGACCCCTGGGTGACGGCTGTGCTGTAGGCGGGCCGTGGCCAGGCCGCGCGGCGGGGAGGGGCGGAGCGAGCCGCGGGAGCGAGCCGCCGGAGCGCGCGCCGGGCCCGCCTCGGCCGCCGCCGCCGCCGGGGGATGATCTGGGCGGCCGCGGGCGGCCCTGGCTAGCGGCTCCTGCCGGTGCTGCGGCGGGCCAGGGCAGCGAAGGTCGCGGGTTGGGGGGTCGTTCTCCTTCCCGCCTCTGGGAGGGACGAGAGGGAGCCGCGGCTGATGTCAGGTACGGCGGGCGGAGGCGCCCGAGGGCTGCGGGTCCCGGGGCTCGGCTGCCTGCGGCGAGGCGACTGAGGGTACGGGAACGCCGCCCGGCGCAGCCAAACAGGTGTCTCGGGCGGCGGGCGAGCGGCCGCCCTCGCGTTCTCCTCTGCCCGGCGTGTCCGGCCGGAGGCGCCCGGGGCGGGCCAGCGCCTAGCGGTCCTGCCCGCCGCCCCGCCCCGGCCTCCGCGCGCCCAGCGGCCGCCAGCTGCCTGCACTCAGGTGCGGACACCTTCCGGCCGCTCCAGTCCCGGGTGCCTGCCGCCGTTGGACCGTCAGCTTTGTCCGGAGCTGGTTGATGATGGTTGGAACTTTCCCGGCCCTTCATTGACTGAGTGAACTAGCCAGGTGTGTTGGGGGCTTGCTACGCGCAGGATTTAAAAAAAAAATGTTTTTTTTTCTTCCCTTTGGTAACAAAGTGTGATGAGTTTCCTAGATGTTGGCTAAACAAACTGCTTCTTTGACTTTATTCTCCTAAATTAACTAATTTAAGAGTGAGGATCGGCAATGAATCCTTTTGAGCTCGGTCCACACTCTTCTTACAAGCAGCATGGGGCTTAGAATATTCTAAGATCCCTCTCATTCTGGAAAAAAAAATAATTTTCCAATATAGATTTTTGTATTCACGGTATTGCCTTTGAGTACATACAGACTAAAAACGTATTCTGAATTAAAAAGTTACAAAGTTAGAACTTCAGTGCATCAGACTGAATAATTAGGCAGTGTGTAAGGGACAGAAATATGGTAATTTACTGGAAGTTGAGCGTAGACCACAGATAGCTCTGCCTGGATGCCAAGAAAAAAAAAAGTGCTGTGCACATTACAAGTTGTTCGATTCTGGTGTGAGTTTGGAAGTGGAAACTTGAGTTTTTAGAAGGTGTTTAAACAGCAGTTTTCCAGTCCTTTATCAGATAAATGTCAGATGCACACGATATTGTGTACTTTAAGCATTGTATAGCATTTCTGCCAGCTGTAGTATATGTTTTTGTACAGTTTAAATGAATTTAAAGTTTTAAGTTACCAAACAGTTAACTCTCTTCACCATATGTTAAGTAAAACAGTGATTTAGGAAGGCAAGTATGACTCACTTAAAATTCAGCATTAGTGGAGAGCTAACTAGTCAATGGCTCAGATTTGCTTGAAATTTATCTTTTCCTGTATCTTTTTACTCAGGACTCAGCAGTTTACAAATGCTTTGTAGTTACTTCCCACTTAAACGTCCTCTCCCCCCATCCATTGTCCTCTTAAAAAATCAGCCAATAATTGTGAATAACGTTAATATTAAGACAATTTTAGAATTTTATAAGCAGTTTAAGAGTACATATCATGAGTTAATGTTTGGCTAACCATATGCAGGAGTGTGTGCATATGTTGACTGTATACTGCTTGTTTGTTGATTTTGCTGGAATGAAAATTGTGTTGTGCAGCTTTAACTATAATCCATGTTAATCTAAAGTCGAGTCTTTGGTGAAAGTAGTGGTTGGAATTTTGTGGCAATATATTTATGAATCAAATGTAAATAGAAATTGTTACCTTAATGCTCCTACTTACCCATTATGTTCAAAAGTTTTGGTTTTTCAGTACAAATATTTTAAAAAGACTTTGTAAGATTTTTAACAGCTAGTTAAAAATTACATCAAGGATAAAAGAAAGATATGCGTTTTTAAGTACCAAATCTGGCGGGACTAAGGTCTTTTTAAAAATTAAAATTTTAAATTAACATGTGAAGTAATATGTGTGTTTGTCATTATACTTTGCTTTTATTCACTTAAATAAAGAAAAACAAAACAAGACTTGCTCCCATAAAATGTGAAGTTAGCATTTTATCATTCAATCCAATAAGATATAGATGACATAGTGTACTTAAGTTTTTGCCCCTAATTGAAATGTCACTCCCCACTTCGTGTTGGGGAGTGTTAAAGATACTCAACTACAGCTTTTTTATCTGTTAGGTGTGAAACAGGAAGCAGCCGTTCTTTATGAATCAGGGAGGCCCATTAGAAGGTGGGAGGCGCCAAGAAGAAACCTAGAACAAATTATCTTGCACCTGCAGTGTGAAGTGCAGTAAGGGCCTGGGGAGGCAATACTGAGAGATTCTGAATTTGGAAACCTGTTTATTTTAGAGTGAAAGCTGTACTTGAAGCACATTTTAACTATGGAATTGAAACCTATAGAGCTCCGTGTAGTCACTTGCATTCCTGTTTGCTGTGTTAGTTTTCTGAGGCTACCAACAGAGGATCATTTGAGATGTTGGTGAAACTGTGCTTCAGAGGTTCCAGACTCTGCTGTTACTCTAAGCTTCTATGTCTGAGGTTGTCCTTTGCTTTCTTTTCTACCACTCCAGTCTCTGCCCCTGTTATCACAAGGCATTTTCCCTGGGTAGCTCCGCAACCAGGGAACTTGTTCGAAATGCAAATTTTCAAAGTTCTCTTGATTTGGAAACTGTGACAAGTGGTTTAGATAGGCTAACTGATCAGATGCTTTGCTTTTAGGTGGTAAACAAGTGAAGTGAAAGAAATCAAGGTTGCTAACCCCAGCTAGAGTTGAGAGTAGGATGCCCAGGGACGACCCCTGTAAAGTAAAGAGCCCAAATAGGCTGTGGAGTGAAACAGGAATGCCTGAGAGCGGAGTGTCTGCAGCAAAGAACAGCAAGACTCTGGTGTGTGTAAGGAACAAAGCAGAGTCCACAGTTAAAACACTGGGGAAAACAGTCTTAGACAGTATAAATAAATATAAATAAATACATAAAGGTCATTTTAAGGTTCTGGCTTTTTAAAATGAGTCTAGGCAGGTGGTAGAGGGAGGGGTTTGAGAAAATGGGTGACAAGGTCTGATTTCAGTTGATAGTGTGACGCTGGTATACTAGCAGAAATAGACAGAAGAAAGGAGGGTGGGAGGAAGAGAAGTGTTGGCCGGAAGGAAGGCTGTTGGAGTCATTGTAAGACAGCTCACAGGAGGGTGGAGGCAGTGGAGACAAGCTAACTGCACAGGGCACACAAGACAGTGAGTGCCAAAAGTCAGCCCTCCCCTGGTGACCTCCTCGACTTCCTTAGAGACCTTCGGTGTTGCAATCAGTCTTTATATATTCTTTCTGAGGTGATATATGAGGAACTACACTACAGCAGGTTAGAACAGGGTTGTGCTTTTGCCATTGTAGGTCAACATCTGGTGTCTTCCTCAATCGCTCGCCATGTTTTGAGATGGTCTCTCACTGAACCTGGAGGGTAGCTGGTTGGCATGCCCCTGGGAGGGGGTGGGGGTGGGGGCCCTTCTGGAGCTGTTTTCCCACTACACCTGGCTTTTGTTTTTTTTTTAAAATGTGGATTCTGGCGGGTTGAACTGAGGTCTTCACTGAGCTCTTGTCCCTTCCTAGTGGAGTGGTTTTTGACTAAAGCTGATTTACTCCTCCAGGAGGATTTTGATCCTTGTCCAGATAGAACTCTGGTTGCCACTGCTAGAAGAAATGCTACTGTCATGTCGTCTAGTAAATACAGGCTGTGAAGCTTCTGAATGTCTTAAGAGTTAATAGGACAGCCCCCACAACAGTGTCACTCGCTAGCTCACACTGCCACTTGACACAAGCGTAAGAAAATGTGACTTAGAAGCACTTGCTGAGGTAAGAACATAGGGCGTGGACAGAGGAGGGCATTTTAATCAGATGACACAGGAAATATATGGAGCTGACTAAACTGGGATGTTTAAGAATCTATTGATAGTTGGGAGGATTGAATGGATTAGTGAAAGGTGAGATTGGAATGTGGACAGAGTCATCCAGGACAGGCTTTGTATGTCTTGTTAATTAAGGACGGTTCTTTTCACATGTGTAGGCTGTAGAATTCTGTGAAGATTCATGGAGTGGCATGGCCACCTTTTCAAGTTAGAGATCATTCTGGTAAAGGAGAAATGAGTTGAAGAGTAGCACATGGAGGGTGGTAGGTCCCATGTCTCAGGAGCTTACAGTTGACAGAGTGCAATAAGACAGAGTAGATGGGGAAGAGGATGGGATTAGAAATTGGACCTTGGATATGGGTGACAGGTAAAACATGAGGAGAATTTGTGGAACGTTTCTGGTAGCACGCCTGCTTAGAGAGTATAAGGCCCTGTGTTTGATCTGCAACAACCCCCACATACACACTGGTTTTTTCCCCTAATTACAATTTCAATAATCAGATGAATATTAGTGAACGAGGAGCAAACTGCTGGTAACTTAGATAATTACTTGTATTTAAGGTAAGGTATTTAAGGGATGTGTTGACTCGCTTTGGGACTTGTTGGGTTTGAGCTGCCTGTGGTCATGGTGTATTTGAGTCCATGTGATTTTGAATCTTGGAGAGTTCTGAGAAGGGTTAAGAGATGTAATGGGGTGGGCAATTCGTATGTTTTTCTTTTTACTCTCTAGATAAATAAATACCTTTAATTTTTGTAGGAGAAGTAAAAGCCTTTTTTTGTTTTACATATACAGAAGTGTGTGTGTGTGTGTGTGTGTGAGTGTGTACTATTTTAAATTGTACAGTGAGATAGTGATGTGTTTGCTTTAGTACTTTGTTTTGAAAGTAAGTCTTATACAGTTAAACCGAGTGAGGCTGCGTTGGGAGAACTAAGTGGTAGTGATGGAAGGGAGAGTGGTAGAACCCTTTACGTTTCAGTGCTACTGCAGAGTGGCATCAAGGAACTAGGAGTGACAGGCATTATTTTGTGTGGTTTTGTTTTTTTCTGAGACCAGACTTGTTAGGCTGGACAGCCTAGAACCTTCTACTTCTGTCTTCCAAGTGCAGGGGTTACAGGTGTGACCCACCATGCTGCCTGCTACTCTGAAGAGTGGTAGGAGGAGGTTTGGGTTCCATACAACCCTTGGGGAGCTTAGGTAAGACTGAGTAATGAAACCTAATTCTCTTTTGTGTATTCTCCTCTCTCTGTCCTTTGAGGGTTTGTCCCCCTTTCATTTTCTTTGGTTTGGTTTGGTTTCATGCTGTACTTTATTAGCAGTTATAAAAGGTAGCCACAGGTGCAAATATTTTCTTCATCAATACATGTAGGTTATTGTTCTTAACAGCTGCAGTGTATAATACTCTGTGAACTAATATCTGAACATATGACTGTCATGAACATCTTCGAAGGCGTCTATGAATTTACCTATAAGTCAAATTTCTGATCATGAAATGATCGTTCAGGGTTATTCAGTTAAGCGTCTAAGATAATTGCCAAATATTCTTTGAAAAGACAATAAAAATATATTGTAGGAAAGATTGTATGGTACCAGTTAATAAATACTGTATCTTAACAAACCAGAAATTCTGCCAGTATGCTAGCTTAGAAACAGACTCTCTTCATTTGATTTGCCTTTCCTT